CACCTAAAATTTCAAGTGATTTGGATTTATAGAAAAAAAAATTAAAATTCAAACACTAAAAGAGGTCGTCATCGTCAAATCGGCCCATATTCAATCTGGGCTATTGGCGTTTACTGTAGTGGTCAGCTAATGGACGTACATAATCCACTCCCATATATATATATATATATATGTAAGTTAGAAAAAACTAAGAATTTCCTACTCCAAAATTTTTGACGGCATAATGCCCTTACATATATAAAATTTAAATTAACAATAGATTGCTTAAAAATTTTTAGAAGGGCAATTGTAATTTTAAATTACTTTGTCAGATTATTTTGTTGCTAAAAATTTCACGAGTAGAGAATGCTAAGTTCAACACAAGTAATGCAAAATCCCTCTATAATGGATATTCAAGCCCATATGAAGTCATAGGGCACGGTTAGTTCCACGTACCATACTGCAACATATCATTACATCCTTGAACTGCATCACAATAGAGGTCTTGAAACAAATCCGGGGACGCAATCATGATATAATAATACAATGTTGAAAAAATAAAATGAAGATTGGAATCTCAAACCAGAAGTCACGCACAAGACAAACAAACTGGATAATTGAAAAAGACTAATAAATAGCTGACCTTATATTATCTTCCAACTGCTTGTCTTTTATAAGTTCTGCAACTTTCTCAGTACCAGAGTATGCTTCATAGTCCTACAGCATTTAGAACGAAAGCATTATAACAAGTTCGTGAAATTGTTAGAAATTTAAGAACCAGAAACTCACTTGAGTCAATCATAATAGACAAGACGAATAAAAAGGGAGATACAATGATATCTTCCTCTAGGAACCAGTAAGCATGAACATGAAGAGGCTCTATTCAGCCAACATATCCCACCTAAGCTCAACTTCATTTCTTGAAACTTCTATGCAATTTTAGTTTTCAAAAAACAAAATGTTCTAACAACAGAAAAACAAGAATGCACAAAAGATAGGTAGTACTAGTGTGTTCAAATAAGGTGAATTAAGCCATTGTAGACATCAATTTTTTTTGTCTATTTTAGCCATATGCCTCTACATCTCTTTCTAGAAATTATCTCAGACCATTCGCAAAGGAAGTGATTGCATATACATGAAATAATTATTAAATGTAGAAATATAGTTTCTTTCCAAGTAAATTCACAAAAATAAGCTTTTGTGGCAGAATCATATTGTAGACTCCAACACTAGGATCTCTAGTGGAGGGCAAAATTATTCCTTTTTTTTTATTCAATTTCAAAGGATTTATATAATAGTTTTAGTTTGAGGTTTATTTCTAGGGGGGTTTTAGTTTTTTAGGAATTTTAGGGTTTTTATATTTTTTATTTATTTCATGAGTACTATACACAAGTATTATTCACAAGTATTGTTCATGGGTACTATTCAAAGGGGTAAAACTATTATTACAAATTTTAAGTTTAAGTTAAGATATATGGGTCAATGTATAATTTGTTTGAACACTTTTTGTACTTGGAACATTAAATTATAATATATAAGAGGTATGTAGAGCCTTGGGGGGGTGTCATATTCCGCATGATTTTTAGAAATTGAAAGAGAGAAAAACTTAGGCTTTTGGAACCTTAGCTTATTATTCTTGTGTTTGGCTTTGTTTCTTGTTGCTTCTATGTTCTCTCAAATTCTCATGCAAAATTGATATTAGAGCTCGCAATCTATATGGAAGGTACTATAGCACTGTACGGAAAGTATTGTTGCACTATACAGACAGTACTGTAGCGTCACTTTGGTGCCCGAGATCAACAACAAAGAAGGGAAAGGGGTCTAGGGTTTGTTGATTTTGGCCAAAGTTTTGCCAAAACAACCTAGATCTTGCTGATTTCGATAGTTTTTTGTTGATTATTTGACTAGGGTTTATGATTTCGACGAACCCATGGCAGCGAGAAGGGGTTGTGCTCCGTGCTCCTAGAGACTAGAGAATTGAGGAATTTGAAAGGCAAGTTCAGCAGCTGATGCAATAATTCACGAACCTCAACAATAGGCAAGACGGTGATCTTTCAGCCTAAAAGGATCTTGAATACAAGCCTTTTCATTTTTCGCATATGGAGTCCAATGATGTGGACAGCGACCGAAGACCTAGAGGAGTAGTCAATCACTCTAGGGATGTTGATTTGAAGGATGAGATTATTGATTTTGACACAAATTGCATCGAAAATCAGAAAGTTATAGATTGGGATTTACCACCAATCTTTGATATATACTTAGATGAATAACAAGATTTCTTAAGAGTTCTGAACTATGATAAGGATCAAGATGATGATGACGAAATTTTCGAAGAGGGTGAAGAATATGGAGAGAAGGCAGCAGAAGGACTGATCCAAATCGAAGTATTTGGATATCTCATTAATATCAAAGAGATAAAACATTTAACAATTTGGGGTATTGGAATCAGAGTAGTGCAATGAAAACATGGACGATTCAGAATCTACAAATTGTAGCCTTGATTTTAGAGAGTAATGAATAAATGAGAAGAAATCCTCTAAAGACCAGAAAATTGAGTTTGGAATGTTTACATGATTTTCAATAAGAGTTCAAGAATAACCGAATTTGAAAAATTTTCATCAGTTTCTTAATATACATATCAAGATCCGTTTCTTGAGGAATTATTTTTACCACGAATAATCTTTGAGCCAACAAAGAAGAAGGTTGAAGAAGGTGGTTTTGACGCTGAATTCATCTTAGCATACTTCAAAACTCGAGGACGAGTTTTCCCCAACTAGGGGAGAATGCTGGAGGGCAAAATTATTCTTATTTTATTTTATTTTTATTCAACTTCGAAGTATGTATATTATAGTTTTAGTTTGAAGGTTTATTTCTAGGGGTTTTTAGTTATTTAGGAATTCTAGGGGTTTTTATATTTTTTTGTTTATCTCATGAGTACTATTCATGTGTTAATGTATACTGTTTATAGGGGTAAAACTGTTATTATGAATTTTAAGTTTAAGTTTTTTTTTTTTTCTGAGAAAGGTTAACATTGTATTACATGGGAAAAAGATTACATGGATGAGGAAGTCCGAGGAACCCACGCAAGGGGTCTCAGCAAAAAAAGTGTTTAGTCTATCAAGTAAAAAATGGGCTTATAGAACTGCCCGGTTACATCTATATACATGGAGCATCCAAAAAAACGCTTCCAAAAAATGCAACGGGCCAAAAAAAAGCCAGTATACAAAGTTCTTAAGTTATATGCCAGTCCAGAGCAAAAAAGGTGTTGGACTCGGCTTGAGCTTGTCCTTGGCTTCTAGTTCCTTCCTTTGCCAGTTGATCTACGGAGTCGTTGGACGTCCTCCATATATGCTTCCAGGAGACATCCATAGCCTTACAAATGTGATAAATTTCATCAAAGATATAGATAAGGTGCCATGGTGGAGAAGACGCTTTGCTGGCCCATGAGATGATGTTTTGTGAGTCTCCTTCCACCATGAGGTGCGGGCCCCAAGAACTGTTAAAGGCTTTCAAGCTTAGGAGGAGGGCCAAGGCTTCTGCATGGTTGGAGTCCTTTAGGCCAAGGTGCACCGAAAAAGTTAGGAGCATGTTGCTTTGGTGGTCTCTAAAGAACCCCCCCCCCCCCGGCCCCTATCGGGCCTGGGTTCCCTAAGGAACAACCGTCAAAATTTAACTTGATACAACCTATTGGCGGTGTTTGCCAGTTGTCGGATCTAGTTTCCAACCTTGGTTGATGATTGAGGATGTTTTTCCATTGAGAGAGGAACAGGCTTCCAGGAATACTTGAAAAAAACCTTATGATTAGAGGCCCAGAAGGTTACCAAGGAGGTCGCCTTGTGAAGGAGAGCCGCTGTGTAGAGTTTTTCCCTTGAAAGATTCTATTATTTCTTTCCACCCAGACTGTTCAAACGGTTGCAACTATTGTTGCCTTCCGAAGGATTCTTCCGCGTTTGGCCAACATAAGTCAAGATCGCACGATATCAAGGCCTCGACCGAGGGAGGGGTGACCCATTTGATGCCAAATAGTTGCAGGACTTGACCCCAAAGATCATAGGTAAAGTCGCATAGAATGAATAGATGGGGATTGGATTCCTCCTCACATTGACATAAAGCGCACCTATCAGGGATTGGAACCCCTCTCTTTTGGAGATGGTCCACCGTGAGGGCTCTATGAGAGCCGGCAAGCCAGTTGAAGATCTGAACCTTGGGTGGAGCTAGGGTGGACCAAACTTTAAACAGAACCGAGGTAGGATTCCTCGGGAAAGTAGGGGGTAAAGTTAAGCTCTTGTAAAAGGATCCTAAGAACTTGCCAGAGGCTGCAAGGGTCCAAACTATTGCGTCATTGCCACGAGGAGTGATGAAAAGAGAGTGCAGGGTTGAGGAGAGCAACAAGAATAAACTGGGATGTATAGGTCAATGTATTATTTGCTTGGACACTTTTTGTACTTAGAACATTAAATTATAATATATAAGAGGTATGTGGGGCCTTAAGGAGGTCATATCACATTATTTGTAGAAATTAAAAGAGATAAAAGATTAAGCTTTTTGAAACCTAGCTTGGGGTATGGAGAAGAAAACCTAGCTTTCATTGAATTATGCTTGTGTTTGGCTTTGTTTCTTGTTGATTTCTATGTTCTCTCAAATTCTCCTGCATCAATCTCACACTGAGAACCCAATAATATAGCATATGCAAGCTAAGGGATGCTAGAAGACGTGTCTAAACTAAGGTTTAATGACGGGAAAACCATGAGACATTTGAAATTTTAAGAGGATATCATACCATCATATTAGCAGGAGAGTCCAGCATAATAGAGATTATTGCATCCAAGCATGCAGCACGCTCAAGTTGTCCTCCAGTGGATAGAATCCTAATCAGCACCTTCCATGCAACAAACTTTATTAGCAATAGTATAAATGTTATCAGGGTGCATGCTAATAACATATACATTTAATATACATGAGATTTCATGATATAGTTTAGTTAATTACAAAGTGCATATCTCTTGATTTCTTAATAAGCAAAAGGGGGTAGTTTTTGGTGATCAATAAATTAAGGAATTGTGTACTATAATTGCTACAAGGAGATTACAATTGCAGCTAGCCGTTAGATGTTAAATCCGATAACTTATGGTGCGTCACAAAGTTCAAAAGATTTTCTTTGGGACTTTGAGCATTGTCAATGGCACACTTCCAACCACTTGATTTCAAATCCAACGGCTAAGGTTAATTGTGATCTCCTTGTACCAAAGGTAAATGGTCTTATTGTATACTTTTCCATAAATCGAAATGCTTTTTAAAAAAAAAAAAATTAAATGTCTGAACGAGAGGTACAAAGCTGGCAACTTGAGAACAAATAAAAAGTAATGATGGCATCGCTGAATTCATAAAATAAATAGGGGTTGTACCTAGAGACTGAATATCAGAATACATGATTTAGATTAACAAACTATCATGCAAGGATGGTCTCCACTTAGTTCTAAACCAACTCTATAAAACTCTGTAACCATTATATATACCAGTTAAACATATCCACAGAAAGTGACATATCCACAGAAAGTGACCAATTTCTAGGGTTCTAGACTTGAGACTTACCTTCATTGCTTTATGCTGATGAGCCAAAGTCCGGCCCTCCTTGTGAAGAAGACAGCAACCTTCTAAGACTCTAAGAGCAAGAGCAACTTCACAGTCTATTGCAGGACTAGTTATCTGAAGAGGTTCGACATTGTATATGTGATCCAAATTGTACACCACATCACCCTTTGAAGGTATTAATGTATGCTGAAAAAGAACTGGAACCACTGCAATGGAGCCAAAGATCTTCATCAGCCTTATATGAAACAAGAAAATTACTAGATCCAAAATAAGGACCAAAGCCTTTTCTAAAGATCTTATAAAGTGATGGGAACCAAAGAAACAAAATTATCTCATCGAGAAGCCTATGTAGACCTGACAATTCCTTTGTCAAAAAAAAAAAAAATTCCTTAGTAACTTGCAGCTAACAATAAAAAAAGAGGCAGTTTTCTTGTAGCTTCCATAGTTAAAAGAGTCGTATGTAAAGATTAGTCCATTGTCTCGAAAAGGTTGATCTAATGCATGCAAGAAAACATTTTTCATAACTCAGAGAAAAACCGTATCACCTCATATTATGGTTTGTTTGTTTTGTGATACATCAAACCAACATAATTTTAGGCATGCAAGAAACAAAGCGCTTACACTTGCACATCTTCTTGTCTCGAAAAGGTTTGATCTAATGCATGATAGAAAACATTTTTCATAACTCAGAGATAAACTGTGTCACTCAGGTTATGGTTTGTTTGCTTTGTGATGCATCAAATCAACATAATTGTAGGCATGCAAGAAACACAGCGCTTACACTTGCACATCTTCCTTACTCATGCCTAAAGTAGGGAGAGTTTAATCAAGCAAAAAAATGAGCTACATCCATCTTCTGATTGAGGATGAAGGGCCTTCTCCCTCTCCTAAACTCCGGTCCTAGGTGTCTCAAATCTGATGAGAATCTTTATTTTTGGGGAAGAGTTCAATCAACTTTTATTAAGAGTTCAATAAAGGAACATTTTGAGCATTGGATTCTCTAGCTTCAGATTATCTATTTTACATGGCAGGAGGATGAGATAAATGACCACCTACTCGTTCACTTTGAGTTTTCATTGTTCAATTTGGAAGCTGTTTATCACTAGCTTTGTATATCATGTTACATAATACGGATACATGTGCAAGTCTCTGACACGGTACGAGCGTCAAAAATATCAATTTCAAAATTGGCATTTCTAACTCAGCATGTTCCTATGCAATTTAGAGAGGAGGGAGGTGAGATATTTCATGGAAGTTAGTACCTTCTTTCAAGAAGAAATCTTAAGAAGTGTCTAGGTTCTAAAGTCTCAGACACAGGTGTAGTGTCCTTGAAGTGTGAACACTCAAAATCGTGAACATGCAAACCCATGATACATACTATGTAGCAATTTACCCACACCTTTCCCAACTATTTTCTCGTTCATCTACAAAGGGGCCTTAGGCTGCATTCCCCGCCCAATGTAGAATACCACTAAAACAAATATCACAATATGAAATTTTTAGACTTCCAAATACATTTGATCTCTCACAACATGAGTGTCTACATATGCACTAACTCAAGCAAACCCTTTAGCCTGAATTGTGCCTAGAAATATAAAGTATTATTATTCCATTTTTCTCTTTTCTTCTCTTTGGCAAGCGCCATGAAAATATGAACAATTTGATTAGTGAAAAAAAATATGGAATTGGAACAGAGAATGAAAATATAGAAGATATAGGATGTAAACATTTACAAGTTACATCCTGTCTATTAAAAGCAAGGCTTTATTCTTCAGTGGGGCATTGTACATTTCGAGCAGCCAATGAGATGGGCTAGATTTAAAAAATTAAATAAATAATGAAATACATAAAATTCAAAAAGGTGAATTAGCTAGTGTTAGCTTACTGCTAATTTTCTACCATAGTAACAGTCGTTTGGGATCCTAGATGACTGAAAAAAGTATAAACTCTGCAGTGTAGATTAGATTATTCCACCTTTTCCAAAAATATTTAAACGATCACAGCTCAGTTGTTTCCGAGAGAAATGCTTCATCTTAAGTATCTCATCTGAGCTCACGTTACACTATGTTGTTCTTAGGAATTGGGCTTGGGTTTGAGTGGTTGGTAGCTCACGTTTTGAACATCTCAAGTTCAATTCCTATGCTATTTGTTTCAAGTCCCCCTTTATTCACCCAAAAAAGAAGTAAAAGGTTTATGCAAATTCAAATAACAAGGCCATTCCAATCACACTTAACCATAGAATGGCACATAAAAATCAGACTACAATCAACACAAAAACCTCGCAAATACTAATTAGGAGCAACAAAACATTTAATCAATCAAAAGTAAATTACTCAAAGGATCCCCGTTTCTAATTATAAACACTAGATTCCGAAGAAAATGAGAAGGGTAGAAATCAACAATAATGAAAACAGTATCCCTGAAATTTTCCAATAATAAACCCTTGATCCCGAAGAAATGAGAAGGGTATTAAAAATAAGAAAATGGAATGAATATGTATAAAACCTTGGAGGTCTCGATAGGTCTGGCTGTCCTGGAAGAGCTGGATCATGGGTTCGGACTCGGAAACAGATGCGAGGAACTTCAACAGATTGCGAAGCCCCCTTACCCTTAAGAATGAGAAGTGAGCCTGTGCTTCTCTCAATCCGGTGCGTAGGGATAGGGTTACCTCCCTCCTCAATCTCTCCCTCTTCAGTGAACACACCAAATCTCCTGCCACTGTACTTGTTGTTGATGGCTCCAGGCCCTCGGCCCATAGAGCCTTCTTCAGATACATTTGATCCTCTTCCTCTTCTCAAAACCCTCCCCAACTTTTACTGTCCCATGGTCATGCAATTTGTCTCTCTTCTCTCTCTCTCATTATTAGGAATTACTTGTCACTCTCTTCTTGCTCTCTGCTCTTCTCGCTCTCTCATTCGTAAGATTCATTTTCCTCTGGCAAGGTCGTTCATGTGACAATGGTGTCACCAGAACCAGGGCGACACGAATATGGTCCCTTTCAGATAACTACAGTATGTTACTACCTCCAACTGTCTCCGGCCTTAACTGTCTCCGGCAAGCAGGTATAGTGTAAGGAAATTTGTTTCATGCGGACCGCATTTATACCTACGCAGTCCAGAAAGTATAAAGCATCCATATGTAAGATGGATGCAAGGAGGTGTTCCATCTAAAAATAATGAAAGCTAACGGTCTGAATGTTTTTTATTAAAATTATTATTATTAGTTTTAATTTTTTTTTTTTTTCATATGCATGATATCTATGTTAGACAATAAAAGCTAACGGTCCGAATGTTTTTTATTAAAATTAGTATTATTAGTTTTTAATGTTTTTTTTTTTTCATATGCATGATCTCTATGTTAGACAGTACATGTCCATAAAAACTAAGCCTTAAAATATATTTCAAAAATAAATTTATTAAGAAAGCCGCATTTGTATAGGCTTGACCGCATAGACTATGCTGTCATTGACTTACCTACATTGATTTAGCAATCTCAGACATATTTAGTTAAACAGTTTGAAAGATTTCTCAAAATAAACGATCAACTATTTAATATTTTACCTTTATTATTATATTTAATTTCAAAATACCCATAATGATTAGTTGGAATCGTTAAAAAGGTAATTTATTAAATTATTGAAAAATTAGATATATTTTTACAAATTTTCCCTTTCTAAATTTATTAAGAAACTATAAAATATATATCTTAATTTTAAATTTTTGGTTTATTAGAAATAAACCTCATATTTTCATAAACCTCGTTCATTTTTATTTTATTTTTTCACTTTTTGCTTTTTTTACCAAAATAGTTTTCACGATAGTCGTATGGTATACTCAATGTCATGATGATCTTAATGTTTTCAAGCATCACGACACTTAAAACACTGTGACGGCCATGAGAAGTATCACGATGCTTAATGAGCTGTGATGATTTCCTTATTAGGCATCATTCGGAATTGCTTAACTCCAACATCCATATATGCCTTGACCGACGCCCTAAACTTAATGTTTGGGATGGAGTCTACACTTTTAGGTATCCATATTTGAGGTAATATATCCCTCACTCTGAAGTTTCATAATATTCGGAGATGGTTTAACCCATAATCCGTATCCAACGGTAGTCAAAAGCCTCATATGTTGTCTATCAATAGATAGGATGACCCCGGGTCACCAAAGTTGAAGTTTCTCTCTATATACAAGAAATGTTCTCATAGGACCAAGACCATTAGATTCTTGACTCAACGATCTATCACCCTTAAAAAGTGCGGCTTTGCATTAATCCCTATGGAAAGAGTAGTTCAGCCCGCAAATCCCCTGTACCTACTAACGTAATTTCTAACATTGAAGGGTTGACTTCGGTGGACCGTATATATATCTCATATGTGACTCATTTGAAGCAAGATTTGGACCATTGTGTTCATCTCTCCAAATTTCATGACCAATGGGTTCGTCATCAAGAAGAGGTAGAAGAAATACAAAGATATAGCAGGATTGGGCTCCAGCAGCTTGACTGACGACAGATAAAAATAAAATTCTTTGATTTTCTCATGCGGTGTCTTACTAAATCTTGGAGTTGTAGATTCGATTTCGAACATCAGATGGATATACATTGGCCAGATATGTGATTATCATTAGAATTATTTGTGAATGCATTTAAAGTTAAACAAAGCTATGTGGTTATGATCTCAAGCTAGATCGTGAAGATAGAAGCTTATGGCTAGCGAATGGAGAAACACGACGAGCTTTTATGATTATGAACTGATGAATGATTCTATAAGCCTCATTTCTTGATGGGGGAAGGGTTTGAATTCGTTGGATTGACAAGATTGAATTAATTCAAAGGGAGATAGAGACATACACTACTCTGCGTGATATTTTGCATCATATATAGAAGGAGAGTTACTGCATCCCCTATTAGAGAAGAAACAACCACTGAAATTGTTGTTTTCTAAACTACAGTGCAAGAATTTGATAAAGAGGGAAGCTATTAAACTTAGACTCATTTGAAACCCGGTATCGAAGGAGCAAACCATACAGACGATACCCTTGTGTTTAGGTCAGGTATATGGGCTTGCGATGCCCTTGGTATTGATTTATTTCATATGTGTTTGCAGATTTTCTTTCTTAAAATCGTATGTATAAGCTCAAGGCCTGGATCAAGGGTATTCGGCTTAACTTTTAGGGCAATGTAAATTGTAATAAAAGATTAAACCTCTGTAACTTTTTTGTACCTGGTAATATATGTAAAACTTGTGTTTCTATGATATAGAATACATGGGCAAATTTGGCCATGAATGTGTTTGTCATGGTCGTTCATTTAGAGTCTCAATGTTTCTTTAGACGTTTGTAAGTTATTGCGGAACATTTTTTTCGGAGTGAGCAATCATGGCCGCTTTCAAGTCGAATGCGAACATTTGGCATCTCAATAAAAATTTCACGAGATTCCATTGCGCCATCCCACCCTTGAGGGAGTGGGACCATCAGGATTAGCAACAGGGCCAGGATTTCTAGGCACATGGCGCGAGAACAAATTCAAACTCCCTTGCCCATGGAACCTTAAAGCCAAAGTCGAATCATAATCAAACAAAAATCTTCTGGCACTTGCCCCGACTAAACTACCATATCATGGAGTGGCTGATCCCTCCTTTCTATGTGCCTACAATGCATGTCCCAATGTTGTTTGCCAAACACGAATTCCACATGGCACAACCAACCTGTACAAAGAAACTCGCTCGTCGGCCGCTAACGGGCAAGGTGCTGAAATGCCCTCATCCCACCCCAGTTGACAAGCAAAGAGCTGTGAAAAATAATGCTCCACAAACCTTTACTACCCTTTCTTAAATGGAAGGAAGCAGGGACGTCAAATATATCTCTCATGCTCAACTCCGAAGCATTACTTGTCCATCACGATGCCTTATGGGTCCCTCAAGGCCCTGTCTTTAGTCAGGTTGCCCCCCACGCTTGCCCCTCGCTTGCACGTGTGTGGACACATGGGTGACCCTATGCACCTGTTCGCTGTGTGTGTGGATAAAGCGCCTGCTGAAGTTCGATGGCAAACCAACAAAATTAAATTTGAGTTATAACTTACCTCAAAATTTGGGGTTCAGACACATTCGAGGGTTTCGTCCTCTTAGATCGCAGAGTAACATTGCCGCACCTCCGAAGCCACTCTTAGACTTAGTTTGGCTCCACTCCCTCACATTTCTTTGCCGCCTTGATTTCCCCTTGAGTCGCACGTTCACTTTTACTAGGTGTGTCCTATTTAGTCCTCGGTTTGGCTTGCTTTGGTTTAGGTAGGTTCGGGGTTTGGTTTAGGTAGATCTGGGTTTGGTTCAAGTAGGTACGGGTTTGGTTTAAGTGGGTTCAAGTTTTGTTTGAGTAAGTGTGAGTTTGGTTCAAGTGGGTTCGATTTTTCATTCAAGCAAGTGTGAGTTTGGTTCGAGTTTGGTTCAAGTAGGTTCAGGTTTGGTTTGGGCGGGTTTGAGTTTGGTTCTAGTAGCTAGTAGGTTCAATGAATTGGGGTGTGCGGATCTTGGATGGGCTAGAAAGCAGGGTTGGATGAGAAGTTGGCTTGGTGGGTAGGTTAAGCTAGTGGCTAGAGAGAGGGTCAACTGAAATCTGATAGAATTCTGGTACGACCTCCCCTAGGGGGTGAGTAGAAAACGAGCAAAGGGTACTTGGCGAGCAGCCAAAGCACCCCGGAGGAATCCATACGGGTCCGTCGGGTCAAGTCTGCCCAGGTACTGATATTGGAAGGGCCTCCTTAAGAGGGCTAAGCTAGACTAAATAGGTTAGGTGGGTGTAGGGAGTATGATAGGTGTGGTGTAGGGTAGGGAATAGGATAGACTATAGTCTACGGAGTATGGTATGATAGGAGTTAGGGAGTATGATATGGTATGGAGTAAGGTCAAGTGTAGGATTAGGTGTGGGTTTGGCGTAAGCTTGAGGGTAAGATATGGAGTATGATAGGATGGGGATTGGATGGTTGGGTTAGGGAGGTGTGGTTGGGTTAAGGTTTAGGAAATCCTTGGTTAAATGTAGAGACTTAACCAAGATGGATTAAAGCTTAGGTTAGTTTAACTAGAGGTAGTTAACCTAGGGTTAAGGGCAAAATGTAGAACTCTTTTTGCAAAATATACTATCCTCTTTTCAAAATAGTAGACTTTCAATAACACTGGAAGCAAAATAGATCTTTACTCCCTTTTTTTTCTATTTTCCAACCTTTTTCTAAGCCTTTTTTTTTTAAGCCTCTTTAAAAGTTACATGAGTTGGGGTTTATATAGAGCTCCCCTTTGAATTAGGGTGGATGCTCAAAATCCATAGAAAACGAGAGAAAATAAACTTTTTTTAAAAAAGTAAAAAATCATGTAAAGGGAAAAATAACCAATAATGCCATGTACAAAACTCAAAATTCCCAAATAGGTTCTTCAAAAGGGTCTCTTCCCATTCATCTGGCGTGCGATGTTGGTTTGGCCTCTAACACCGCGTAAACGTAGATCGTTCGGATGTGATTGTTTTGATATGTGGTTTGCAAAGAACTATGGAGATTTGATGATGTTCTTGGTATTTTTGAGTTTCATGATTTTTGCACAAATTTTGCTTTGTTCTCCAATCGATTGCTCCAAAAATACTAGGTTTATTGCAAATCTTTTGTTAGCAGATTGAAGGGGATGTCAGCATGATCATTTTGCAACAAGAATCGTGCGAAATGACCTCCAATCGACTAAGTTGTGATTCTGGCAAGTCGCTGAAAAATCACTTTTCTGTCATCTCGAAAATTCTTCCTACTTTCGATCCTTAGATGAGCACCATCCCAGACCCCGATCATGACTTTTTTTTATGTGAAATTAAAGATAATTGACTCAGGATTGAAATGCACCATATTTGAGCTTGATCAGACAGTCCGATATCGTTGGAGTGCGAAGAGGTCACGAAAACTAGTTTTTGCATATACTTGAACTTTTACAAATCTCTCTAGAATATATTTTGATCCGGTTGTCGATCACGTCTGTGGCTTATATTAAACAATCGTCCTCGTTGAGAAGCACGAAATACCCAAATTTTATCTTGATCTGACTTGC